ATTATGAATTATTTATTGTATTCAATCAGACCTACTGAATGATTCAACTCTTTATAAAACTTATGTATTTAATTATTAATTCTTAACAAATATTCACGATTCGATTTAGAAATTTATTAGAGAGACACCGAACACGTACTAATCTACGGATTTCAGTGTATCTACTCGCTCTATTTATTTCCATATCGTTTCAACTATTTGTAAAAAAAACTGTTTGTTTATATTGGGAATAAATAAATTATTATTATTATTGATGTAGATTTCTATGACATCATTATTGCGAAACGACTTGACGTAAGGGTAGTATGTTCTCCATTCTACTTTTTGTATGGACTCGTCGACGTGAGGCTCTCGGAATATGTTGAACACTTGAGAGGATAACATGATGGCCGGGTGACTTGAGAAATGCTATATTCCGCGTACTGAGTGGGCGGCGGGCAATGTGGTTGATGAATGTCTTCTTGAAGACTGAAGGAGCAGGAACGGAGGTGCGACTCTTATGAACACTCAGGACCATAATTTTTTCAGTTCCAATCGGATGATGACTTCTTCGTTTCGGAAATTGACAGGTTGAAAGTTTTGATCGAGCACTCTGAGCGTGATGTTGTAGATCTCGTTTGTATGGGCAGCGATGGGTAAATAAATGAGGCGATACGGTGTTTCGTCGATAGCGTAACCAAGGTCAGCATCGATGGCAAATCCGTAGATCGTGTGAGATGGTATGTCGTTGTAGAAGGCCCCTGAGGTAATGTTGCTATCGAAATGTATTGTTCGAACTTTCATAATATTCACAAGCTGATCTGACACATGATGAATGTCATTTTCCAAGATCCTCGACGAAAACCCCAATATGTTGACCAATTTATTGTTTTGAGTGGAATCGATTACATGATGTTTGTAGAAAATTTCAGTCTTCAAAGTATTATTATTCGGTTTGAAATAGAAAAGGTCTTCAGGCTTCTGCGATGGAGACAATGACATCATATTTTTCGATGTAGGTGGTGGTACAAGATGTTTTCTGATCAGCTCTTCAATATCTTCAATTTCGTAAGCTCCAGTAGGAATATCAATACTTTTTCTTCGTTTTTTGTCACCGTTTTCGAAATAATAGAACTTTGTTCCTTCTTTGATGTTGGGCACGCTGTTGTACGAATGGAAACTGAGTAGAGCTTAGCCATATTCATAATCGGAATCTGATGGAATTGGAGGTGAAAAATCAATAGAGAACGTCGAAGAACGACTCTTCAATGTCAATATCAAAGACATGACTGATGGATCAGTGTAGAGGTATGCATAATTTGAATGGTGTGGTTTTCATTTCCATCTTTCTAATTTCGAATTCAATAGAAATGGTAAACATAAATGACCACAATTGATCTGATTGTATTCCTGATAGACATCATTATTATAGAATATCTGCACGTTGTTTCCGAAATATTCGGCTAATTCCTTCGGCGGTTTCAAACAACCATACGAATCGAAATAATGGACAATATCCTCATGTTTTTTATAAACTACCCAATGGGTACCAGGATTGATGGAGGAATCTAAATTCATGACTGCACACTCACGACGTCGCCATGGGCGGGTAGGAAGCGTGTCTCGCATGAAAACTCCTCGAAAATATGGTATTTTCAGTTTTTTGGCGTATTTTACAATCTCTCCATCATATAATGCTCCATTGGGTAGTTTGGATATCAGTTTTTTTGTTTCTTCAAGAATAATCCAGTTCCACAGCTGCCACCTCCTTCGCCGCCACCGCCGCGACCACCACCTCCTCTCTTTTTCAAATACAGTCCATATCCTCTACGTGTTTTACGTAGATACACACCGGAACCCAGATGCTCCATAGCTTGATTGTGACGTTTATCCTCTTACAGTTTTTTCCTCGCATTCTTGGAATCGATTACTGTCTTTGCGATAGCGTTTGCTCCCCCAGCCAGCGATCCTAAAGTCGATAGGCCTGCAAATAGTGGTATCAATGGTAGGAATCCACCGCTTTTTCCTGCGGCTGGCAGAGGTATTATTCTGGGAATTCGAATTTTTTTCCGACGTCCAACTTTTTTTATTGCCTTATGGGCTGCACGCGAAGCTGCTGCAGATGATCTACTTGAACCACTACCTTGATGACTACCACCGTCAGCGTTGCTGTCAGAGGTTTTTGTCAGAGCATTCAGCACATTTTTCACGATTTTGGAGAATGGCTGCTGCTGCTGCTGCTTCTTAGACCCCATGTCGAGTTTACGTTTTGTCTTCATATTGGTGGTGACGAGCCAAGCAGCAGCTTTTTCACCAATTTTCGCGTCTTTTGATTTGACACGTCCCCGAACTCTATTTTCCAGCACTCGCTCAGCCTTATGACGTTCTTCCATAGTGTTGTTCTGAGAGTAGGCGATATCGTGCTGTTTACAGGCTTCGTCCAAGGGGTTTATGCCTATATCTCCACGTTCTAGTCGTTCTTTTAATTTGGTTCCTGGACCACGATACGAATAACCAGGAAGATTTAATTCGAATGGTAGTTTATTGATGATTGTATCGACAATACCTTCATCGCGGTAGATCAACATCAAGAATGAGCACCGATGTTGAAAATCATCTCCATTCATAAAAGCCCTCAATGCTCTGTGAATTGTCACACATCATGAGGGTCGTTCAACAGGAAAAGACGCTACCAATCGAAAACTTGGACTACTTGAATGACAGCAGTAGCGGAATCGATTGAGGTAAACATGGTGTCCTGTTACCACAATCATTTCGCGCCATTATTCGTAGTCCAAGTGGATGTGGAAAAACGAATGCTGCACTGTCATTGTTGTTCCATCTCAATGGTGCCAAATTCGAAAACGTATACGTGTACTCAAAGTCGCTGTACCAACCCGAATACCAGTTGATATTTTCCATTCAAAGCTAATGAGGCAATTATGGGCCCCAATGAAGCAAAACCAAATTCCATTTTTATTTTCGATGACATATCGTGCGATTCACAACAGAAAAATCAGGAGTATTATTCCATGTGTCGTCATCGAGGTATCGATGCTATATACATAGGACAGACGTACAGTAAAGCCCCCAAGCAAATGTTGCGCGACAACACCAACCTAGTGGTGCTCTTCAAACAGGATGAGGTGAATTTGAAGCATGTCATGTCAAGTGAATGTCGTTCGCAAAAATTAAATCAATGAAATAGCCAAGGCTATCAAAAAGAAATATTTTGCTTTGAAATTCTGCACCACTGAAAGAAATAATAGCAGCAAACACTTCATTATACAACACAGCCATCAAAAATGAACCTTTGCTACCGAAAAAGGAAGAGAAAGTTCAAAAGGAAGAGGGAGGAGAAGAAGAAGAAGCTTATGGACTACCGTTGAAACTTGAACGTGTTGCTAGTACGAGTAGCGAAGGTTTTGGTGATGAAGCGAAAGAGATGTAGGAGGAGATGGAGGTGATGTGGAGAGCTTTGATCCTGCAGCTATTGAGGCATATCTGGAACAATATCCTCCAATGAGCATTCCATTCAGGAAAGAACATTGGACCAACAGCGATAAAATAGACAAGATATATGGTCCTATATATGATTCTAGTCTAGCAATTCAAAATGAAGGCTTGGCTACAAAGAAATCGATTTTGATGCACGTACTGGCTACATCAAAATTGATGGGAAACAAGTGAAAGGAACTCCTGGTATATATGAGCTGATATTTCACGATGTCCGTGAAAATCACAATAAAGATAATCTGTATGGCTACAAACAAATTCTGGAACTATCAAAGGCCCATCTGAATGTAAATGGGAAGATCAAACATAGTCCACGATTCAAGTACAGGGAAATCGTTAGACCTTTTTTTCTGCCTCCACCACCACCACCATCAGCAGCAGCCGCAGCCTCGCAAGCAAGAACACGACGTGGATATCAAAAACAGAGAACCCATGATGAATACTTATAATACCAAGCCTGTGGAATACATCTATTGGGATGATCCTAATGAGTTGTGTGAACGTTTGAGATTGCTCATAGCATCAAAACAGGCTGGGAATACTTCTCTCGACAATGAGATTGTATACATTATTTCTGAACTGAAGGAGGCAAACATTATACAATAGATATAAGCTTATGAAATATCAGTCATTTCAAAGATGACAATCGATAAGTTCGGACGTAGTTCGGATAGAAAACGAAAACTGGTGGTGATTGCATCAGGCGACGGTGGCTTAGCACATACTCCTAAAGGCGATATAGATTTTGGTAATTTGAATTTGTGTAATGTCAAAACACCTATTTTGAAAAATGATGCTGCAAACAAGGAATACGTTGACCAGATAAGAAATAACGTGAAACAGTCCCTAGCGCGAATCCAGACAGATTTCAAGAGTGCAACTGACGAGTTTGTCAAAAGAGACAAATTCACAAAAGTGAATGATTCTCAGAATACCCAGTTGGTGGAGTTGACCACCAGGGTGCAGCAAACAGCTATGCAAATAACATATTTCCTCTAAGAATCGTTGCCTAAACTAGAGAAATATGTGAACTCGAAAGCAAAGGGCATAGCAGAAGTTTTGAAATTACTCGAAGATAATACTAAAAGTATAAGTACTCTGAAGAATGAGCAGCAACAAAGTTATCAGACAGTGATTCAGCTGGAATCCATGCTGCAGAGCTTGCTTCAAGTTTTTTTAGTGTAGGGTGTATTGTTTTTCGTTATGAAGGGTGGCCATTAATTTTAGTAATTTGGGATTGGGTGGAATGCGATGTTCGGGACATGGCATGGTATAATACCAGGCTGGGTCGAGAGAATACGTCTTCAGTGAGGATTCACGAAACTTTTCCATTATGTCGGCGAGAAGAAGAATATCGGTTTGCATGTACAAGTCGCTATATTTCCCAAGTGTTTTCATTTCTAAAGCCGTCCAGACGTTCCGAGCATGAGCATGATCAACATCAGAAATATTTTCATCGTATAATCTATTGTGAAAATTTTGAATAGAAGGCAACTCAGTTTCATTCAATTCTTCTTCACTATCAATATAGTCATAGGAAAGAACGCCTTTTCTTGTGAGCAACTGAAATTGATTCTCATGTACGCTGCTAAATTATTTCCTTAAAATTTTCAAATCAGCTATATTCATGGTTTTTGCGAGGGCATCGTGACCTGCTCCCAGAAAACGGAAAAAATCAATAAATCTGAATTTGATATCGGTTTCAGAATCATACTGAGTGAAAGATATGAATTTCTCCTTGTTCACTGGAAGCACACTTATACGCCCACGCTTGGAAATATCTCGAATTAGAAAATGCGAGTCATATCCGGAGAGGATTTGGAAAGCTATTGGTACAACAAACAGTTTTTTAAAGTTGATGTTGCATGAAGCTTGGTGGGCGAGTCCTCTGAACTCGCCTGTGGAATGATTATGTTCGCGTACGACAATGTCTTTTTCCTTGAATTTTTTCTCGCAAATATGGCAAATATCAGTTGCGACGCCACTGGTGTAACCCGGCCTCACCACCATTGAAACGATATTTTTGATTTCAGATTGAATTGATTTGGCAACGTCAGACATTTCTTTCGCAAACCAATCCATGCAATCCTCACCTCGATAACCTTTATGAAATGGAAGTGAATAATCATAGGCACATTTCAGGTAATACCCAGCACTGTAGGTCTCATGATGCTGGTACTTTAGAGTTGTTTTGAATATTCTTGAATTGCATTTTTGTAATAGCGATTCAAAATCCGCATAAATTATAAAAGGGCATGTCTGTCCATAGATGTGGTTCTTGAATTCAACAGAATCATATTTTGGAAAAAAAAATTTTTTCATCATTGGTTTTCCCACACAGAGCGGTGTGATTATGTAGCCTCGCCTAACTCATGAAATAGTTGAGGCATCTGTCACAAAGATATTTTTTTTTATGATTTTTATTGAATTGACTGAATAGCAAACGTGACAAGTCTTTTATCCAACAGTAGTGGTTCCTGATTGATATATCTTCATCATGAACAGGCGGAGCTTCATAATCATTCAATTTCGGAAAATATCTGTCTTGAATCAATGATAAATTAACATGCCTTTCTGATTCATGCTTAGTCAATCTTATGGGCACGACTTCGTGAAATCCTTTCTCTTTAATTTTATTCAATTCTAATCCATACACACCATTCATTTTTTTTTATTTTGTAATCTGAGTTAGTTTAATTGGTATGTCTAGACCTTTTGTATTCAGAACGGTGGAAAAATGTGAATATTAGTAGAATATTCATGAGAGTTCTGGACCCAGAACGCTGTATGCTCAATCTGGCTCAAACGGTCATCAAGTTCCTCCAAGTGTAGCGATCGACGTTGCAGAGCTCCTGCTGTGTGAACTGAAGAACCCCGACGTCATGCATAACTTAGAATGTATCTAGGGTGCCTGGTTCCTAAATTTTGGTAACATTTTTCGTTGCCAGTCTTTGGTCCAGAAATCACCCTGTTTACGTTTCCTATGCCATGATCTCATCAGTATGTTGTGATGAATTCAATGATAATTTGCTAGGTGTGTTTGTTTATCACGCTCGATCATCGATTAACATAATACCATGGCCACTATGCAGACAACAATAACAAAATATCCGTCGTTTCTACGCCTCAATGATCTCATCGCAACAACAAAAATAAGTTTGTTTATCGAGCCCTAATGATCTCATTGATAATACCATGACACTATGCACAATCTACTGGTGCAAATTTCGATTATAGGGTGGACAGGAATGGTTTCCAAAAATGTATAAAGATCATGAAAAAATGTATTGTTTCATCAGTTCTGTTGTCATTCCCTTCAGTTACGTATCATTATGTCTGAATTTGAAGATAGTGCCATCAGTAGTTTGTCAGGTCAGTCATATTACTTTGTGGATGAATATCATTGCGTGATTCCGATTTCACGAGATGGAGGAATTATAAATGATGAAGAGTTCGATGGTGGTAAAGATGTTGAGATAAAGCTGAGTTTTCCTCCACGTGGAGAACCCTACCAGATTCCTGAGACGAATTATCCGTTGGATAATTTCATCACCGAGAATATGTGTCATACTAAATATGCGAGCTGCAATAAGTATTATCATTTATTCAATCCAGTTAATGGAAAACATTTCATCTTGTGCCCGTCTTGTTATTTTCGTACAGATTTGGTTTCGAAAATGAAAGAATACTCAGCATCATTGTTCTGTAATGATAAACATATTCATGCATTTGCTCATATTCATTGTTTCAAGTGCAAACGAGATAGTATAGAATATAGAACGTGTGAATTTGAAAATTCCTACAATTTCAAAAATATTTTAGGTGTTTGGTCATCTGAAATTGTTCGATTGCAAGTGTTCAAAATAAAATGAAAAACTCATGAACTAAGTATTTTATTCGCCATCCTGTACTTCGAAAGCTGATATCATCTTCACCCATGAACTTCGTGAACAAGTGATGTCACTTCAGCTGATGATCTTATTTCGCCATTGTTCATGATTGAGTAAGCAAGTGAAAGTGGGGAGGTATGAGTGGGAATATTGGTATAAAAAAGAAAGCGGAGGATAGATGATCATTGTGAAATATTGTCGTGAACTTGTTGAATTGTGAAAAAGTGTTGTGAAACATCCTGCCTAAAAGTGAGTTTGATATTTGTTCAGTATCAAATTTCTGATCACAATTCCTGATTGGAATTCTCAAAGTCAAGAATGGACTATAATTTTAGATGGATCTTACAGCCATTATTAACAAAGAAGCATCGTTGATCCGAAAGGAGACCGTGAAGCTTTCAGATCTACCTCTGAATACACCGGTACCAATAATTGGAGCAAAAGTGGTCCAAACACGATTTGGAAAGTGTGTTCTCGTAGAATTGAAAGACTCCGCCGTTTTCCTACCGCAAAGAGTCACTGACTTGGTGGAAGGAAGGGAATCTGAATTCAAATCAAAGAAAAACTTGTAAGAAGGGTGGACTCTGATGAAGATACTCTATCCTCGAAATAAACTGATTAAATTACACCTGTCTTAGGTCCACCTTCTTAATAATATTTATTTCCTTCATCTACTGATTTTCTTTGCCGAACGAGACAGGTTAGGCAAGTAAGGTCCAATAAGAATACGCTTGAGTTGGCTCGTAAACATTATCAATAAAATTCCACTTACCTTTCGACTCTCAGAAGGGGTGACAGCTCTCTGGGCTCAGCTATCGCTTCTGCGGGCTATCGATTACCTCGAACCGTCACACGTATAAACACTTATCTGGTAACTCTTTGCCTTTATTATATTATATAATCAACTTTTGACTTATATCAGAAGAACTTCTATTAAATTTACTTTATTGTTCACTTCTGGAAGAGAAGTGAGTAAGTTCAGCAATAATAGTAGATTATACCACGAGTCAATAATGATAGCTATTATTCTCGAGGATTTTTTACGAACCGAGCCGCGTCAGCGGCGAGGGAGTAACATTCCGAGAGAATAATAGCCATTATTGCGAGTAGTATACTCTACTTTATTTGCGACTAATACATATACCTGTGGTTTCCGAAGCACAATGCCACATATTAATCCCGCAGGGAATAATGGCGAGGGATTAATAGTCTTTATTCCCTGCGGGACCAATACATGGCATTACACTTCAAAAACCACAAGTATAATATATTAGTCGTGAATAAAAGAATAAATAAAACCTCAACGATCTATTTAATAATTATCAAAATAAACAAATAATGAAAAGACAAGTAAAGAAAATATGATTCGATGAGGAAATGGCTCCTATATAACAAAGCAAATAAATGAACAAGAGATAATTATGATGATTACAGCTATCCTGACTGAGTTGAAATCTATCAGACTAATATTATCTTAACCAGTCAAAAGGAAGTTGATGGTTTAAAAATGTATTTCACTTTAAAATTTAGATGTTCTAAACAGTACGGAAGGTACTAACCTAGTTGAGTTCAGACTCTGAAAACGCAATGAATTTACAAGATTCCAATGATTACCAGAAGGGAAACTTTATCAATATCAGAAAAAATACAATCTTTGAGAGATTTACCAGACACTGAATTCACGCACCAGAACACTAGGCAAGCAGGATGAAATTCAAAATTGAACTAACTTTAAGATTTTTCTAAAATCCCTATCTGACTCTAATTTCGTCTGTTCATTCCCGTTATGGGTGGAAACTTGACTTGGTTGGATGGTATCAACCAATCGTGGTAGATTTTTCTCTCTAGGGGTGTATACTATTCCTTCCTTCTCTTTTGACCAGCTTCAGATACTTGACATACAAATGATTTATGTTTTCGCAACATGTGGGGACTTCTTCGAAATTCTTAAGTACCCTCTGCAGATATTCACAAAATAAAAATAAACTATATATGTTTCTCGAGAGCCCTTACTTTTGACGTGTTTATTATGCTACATAAATTGCCCTATTCAAAAGATATACTCTCGAGTTTCCTAGCCTAAACTAATACCATTTCCTTGAAATAATAAATGTCAACTAATTGATGGCATGCAGAAGATCGCTTCTCTTAAAATTATCTACACGACGTGTGGTTTCTATTCACATCTATAGGGAAAAAGGAAGTATCTCCAATAAAAAACCCTATACCCACACAACTTTTATGCTTAAACTAACAATACCTACTTGACATATCCTGGAGTACCCCATTCAATAAGACTTATTGATGCAGAGAGTGAAACTTTTACGATAGTTTTGGAATAGGAGCTGAACCACGGGTGGTCGAGCATTATGGTCAATAGGACACTATTAGCAGTTTATGATAGCTATATATTTCGAAATAGAAAAAAATAGGCATGAATTGAGTGTGGCCCTAGTTAAATTTAATGACTCTCGATTTCACTTTCAGACCGATTTCTTGAAAATGAATTCTCAGTAATTTGAAATGGAAAAGATATAACTAATTTCATTTAATCATTAAAGTACAATGGAAATCTATATTAAATTATGAATTGAATAATTCGCATTCTTACATTTCTCCCCCCTTTAAGAGTAACAATTTTTTATTTGTCTTGAACTTCAAGTTGGGTAATAAATGGTTACTCCAGAATAGTCATATATACATATCTAACTAACCTACTTTTTGTTTTCCTGGAACAATCTTCGTCTTCTTCTCCGTTGTGGGTCGTGGTCCTTGTCTTCGTCTCCGTGGTAACTTCATTCTCATTGTTTTTCCAAACAATTGGGATTGTCGCAAGGTATGAGGGTAGGATAGGGTGACCTTAGCGACAGGTGCGCTCGGGGTGATCCGCGTTTCACTCGCGGAATGCCGAGATGCATCAGTGTCATTTATTCGAACTTCCTGAAGTTCGATATTATTTAGGGCGTTGTGCTCTACCGGATCACTATTACTATGGAGGCTATAAATATACCGGTGGGCTAAAGCTTGGAAAAAGCTAGCCCACAAATATCGTTTCCTACGCGGATGGTCCTTGGCTACTTTCTTGATGGTGAAATAGTTCGTTATCACACCCGTAATATAGCTCACAACACAGAATGTGGTATACAGAAAACCGCATATCGAGAAAATGTTCCCCATTCTCGATAGGAAACCCCACACTTCTTCCGCGGCAGATTTTGCAAAGTTCTTAAATTCCGATTCACTGAAGAGTTTAGGCATATCATAATTGTCCGTACCTATACCTCTTCCTGTTACGCGACGCGCGACTTCGTTCGTGACGGCTTTTCTTTCGTTCGGGAACATGAGCGTGCGTTGAAACTTTTCCATATCTTCCCGGGTATAGATACCATCCGACGTGATAGGTGATATCCTGGCCAACTTCACGATTTCGTCCTCGGTGTTAGCATCCAGTTCGATAGCTGGATCGGCTTTCCTCAATGCAGGTGTCAATTCTACCCATTTACCCTCGATTCTGAAACTAGGAGGCAACAGTGGCTGACAATCTATTTCAGTACCATGTTCTGTCAGGATGTGGGTCATCGGTAATCGGAATAGAGACCTGTTCTGGTACTTTACAGGTAATTCTTGGTAACAAGCCGTGGCTCTCCTGTACTCGACAATTATTGGCTTACATTTCACGATATAGAGTACTTCGCCCATGACTCGTCCAATATAACCTGTAGTTTCTTTCACAAGGTTACCCACGAGATCAGGTGATTGTAAGGCCATAGTGATCCGGTTTTGTAGAATCTTCTCTCTTAATTGACACCTTTCCATGATGGCATCGTAGACAACATCAGCCATTTGTCTTTTGACAGCAATTTCCAAATAAAGCAATTTGCTGAGTACATGCATCATCATATCTGTATTTTCGGTAGAAAAATCCTAACGAATCTTCCAAAATTACCAACAAACGATTTTGTTCGGTCTGCCAAGCTCGTTGATGACATAGATCTTCTGACTTGATTAATTTCAGAGCGAAAACGGTATCTTCGGTATCCACGATTACGTAAAATGTTGGTGGATCCTTGCTAAGTGTGAGCAATGTTGCATTTCCTTCATAAAGCACATCGACTCCACTGTTTGTGCACTGATCAGCGATTTTTGCTTTCCATATCGCCTCTCCGGAGAAGTCATCAAAACAGGATCCATCATTATAAGGACATATGGTTCCCGAACGAAGATTCACAACATTACGTTCGACATCCGCGGTAGTGAAATAATCGGACATCTTGATTGTTATCGCGGCCGACACGACGACGTTTTCGTACGAGATATCTCCGACGGTGAATTTGATACCTTCGCATTTTCCGCTTATGTCGAGGTGTCCTTGGAGGGTTGTTGATACTTCCGTGGTCCCGTTGAGCCTGATCTTGCTGATGATGCCGCCGCCTATTCCTCGAAGATCCAAGTGCCGGAACTGATGAGCCTTGAGACACGTCTCGGCAGAGACGTAGTGGACGTACTTTCCTAGGCCTCCTGCGACGCTGCTGGTATGGGAGTGCATTCCGCAGTACTGGATGAACTGCTGCACCACGACGAGGCAAGTGTAGACCTGGACTCCCACGTATTGTCGCTTCTGGATGAGCTGGATCTTCCTTCTCGTAGTCTCTGTGGCATTCCTTGGGTCGAGGCATGGCTTCACTCTCAGCAAGGACAGTTTAGTCAGCTCCACTGACTCGTCCTGGCAATCATACGCAATGATGTCGCCTTGTGTAAGGCTCAACAGCCTAACGAACACTAGACACAAAACTAGCAACATTTTCTGAAACATATCAAATTGTAATTTTCTACTATCTACTCTGAAAAAAATATATAATTGTCAATGAGCTATTATACATGTGTGGAATTGTTATTATATTCTATTTTTACTTATCCACGGATAATCTTGTGCCGGTCCTTGACTTCTCGTTTGTCGTTGATTGTTCTCGTTATACTCATTTCTGGTACTTCTGCTGTAGAATTTTCTATTTCTGTTTCCATTTCACCTTCATTTTCTATACTATTTTCGAGTCTACTTTCTTCATTAGCCGATTCAGATGACAAGGAGTGAAATTCTTCTATTTCAGGATTTTCTATCAAGTTTTCTTCATTTTCACTCGATATATTTTCATTTTCCGTTTCACTTGTCGTTTCAACACTATTTTCTTCTTTTACCTCAACTTCTGCTTCTTCTTCTACTTCGGCATGATTTTCTTCATTTTCTGACTCGTTTTCTGTAGTTTCCAGGGACGGCGTATTATTGATTTGCGGGTTTGGTGTCCCAATTTCCACTTGTCGATTATTTCTTCGCGTATAGCCTCCCATCATATGGTGATCCGTGGTATTTCTATGCTTTATAAACAGGTGCGCTGTTACCTATATCGATGGTGTGCTGTATCAATTTTGTAGCCCTTAATGGTTCATTTTCCTCGGCGAATATATCACTATATTTACTCAAAATCTCCTTCTTTTTCTTTCTATCAGCAATTGGTAAATGTTTTAGAATTTTCTTGTAGGTCTTACTTTATGCCTTTATACAACCGTCGTACTTCCATACTCGAAGTTTCCGAATCATCTTTCTCCGCTGTCGCGTCTGTTAACCTCAAAATCGGACACTTCTTCCCTATGGTCTGTGCGACAGGAGAAGTATTAAGAATCCGTACCACAATTTCCTTTTTCTTATGGGGAGAGTTAGGTGGTATAGTAACCACAGATCGAGCGACACATATTCCAGGGGTGAGGGGTAGTGGTTGACAAACTTTTATGCCTTCGTAGACGCGCGTTTCTACTTGGACACGCAAGTCGCAACCTTGAAAAGCCGGTATTACCAATTTTTCCCTCATCCTTACTAGGCTAGGATTTTTGAAATTATTATCCCACCCGGTTGCTTCAACTTGGTTCAAGCTTCCTTGGTCATAAGGAGGGGTGACTATTGCTGATTCCTGTTTATTGAGAGAACTGTGGTAGGAAACCTCCTTATTATCAGTATACAAACTCTAGGCGGCAGCTGTAGGAATCTTCAACGAGGCAGGTACCTCTTCCAGAGGACACAAGTTGACAGAGTAGTGACAATGACTCCCTCTGTCAAAGAGGTGCGGGCTGGCATTACTATGCAACAAACCCTCATTTGAATTCTTCATATGGGTCTTATTCTGCCCTCTATTGATTTCAGAATCAATTTTCTTGCGAGTCTTATTCTGCTCGTCTTTATAACCCTCTCTTTCGGGGTGATTCAAATTTTTACCTCCGAACATCATAGTGTTACCTTGATTCTCTGGAACCCCATCTTGTTCCATAGCAATGAAGATTTTTCTGGAAATTCTTGTAATTCGGACGGCTGATATATTTTTTTAATTCTTTCATTTTCACCATGCATTGGAATTTCGAATCCTTTTATCTTCATTATACTGCGACTGAAATCCATGATAGGTTGACACTTATTCAAAAAATCTAAACCTATCAATCCATCTGTAGTGAATTTCAATTCTTCTTTACACACAACAAATTCATGTGTTATACATTCCCGAGGAAACTGAAATTTTATTTTTTACTGAGCCCTTTTTATTCAGGACTTATATTTTTCTTGATTCTTATTGCTAACCCTTCTATACCTGTAGGAATAATAACGAATTTTATATACCTGCAAGAAAACCCTTATACAATCGAAGCTGAATAATCGAATAATAAATATTGAAAATTAAATTGCCCTGTAAGAGATTTATGACACCACAACAATGATTCACCACAACAATCGAAGCAATAGGCTTACATTTGTAGCCTTTAGACAGACGAAATAGAAAGATACACTTTCTATTGACTCGGCGTCCTTTGGAGTTTCCTGAAAGAGATCAACCTTAGGCAAAGAAAACATGAAGAATATAGTTTTCATTTCAAAATTCTGACTGACTTAATTTTAGTAGGTACTCTTAAAATTTCAAATTGTCACACAAAAAAAATTATTCTCTTCAAAACATTTTCCCCATCTTCTTCATTTGCCTATAGTTTGTTTTAGTATACCACAGCCTTTTGGAAATCAGATTCAAAATATTTTTCTGTTTTTCTTTCATTTCTCTATTCATTATCCTTGTTTTTGCTTCGAAGTTTATTTCTTTATCAAAATTATTACTTGACGAAATTCCGTCATATGTCAATTTCCTTAGATAATTATGACTCTAAATTGGAGTTTTCTGTTCACAGGTCATGATTAGTTATTCTCATTATCATAACTCTTCAATTCTTCGTCAATTTCGACTATTCTCATGAATACTTGATTTACTTCTCATCTCAAATAAAAATATAATATCATAATTCAATATCTAATTTAAATCTGAATTCCATTAATTTCGTTCGGCTCACCATTACTAGAAAACACTTGCTCTTTTTTTTTTTTACATGTATGTATAACTTCATTGAACTTGACCTAGATTTCTTGTTCATTCATTATATTATAGACTTGATTAGGAACACTGGAATATGAACACTTCAACAAGAGGGAAAACACAAAAATCTTGAAAATACCTTCATGCTCTTGATTTGTTCTACGATACCATTATCAAATTCCAAAAGAGCAAATGCTTCTTCAATAGAATACATCCAAAATCCATCCATCTACTATTTTCCTTACTTCAACTAAAAATTCACCTATATTGGTAGCTTGTATGATTAATAATTCTAAACTTATTGGAGTGGGTAAATGGATTTATTCTATTCACGATACACTGTATCGGAGTTCATTTTCAATTTCATCGCTTGTGAATTTTCCTCAGTTTTCCTAGTTAAATTATTTATTCACATCAATGGCCAATCTACATTTCCTTGAGTGAAACAGACTAAATTAAATCTTATTCGCTGAGGAAAATTCATTCTAGCGTTGACCATGTTTACACCAGCTTTGCGTATCTTTATCACCTATATTTGTATTTTTAACGACAAAATTTCGAAATTGAAAACACAATTCTGCGTGTAATCAAGAAATTATGTGACAGATACTCTTGAAATAATTGAATTCAATCATATTACGTAATCCAATCAATGTTTCATTCAATTTAATGAAAAAACGTCCTAATTTGATCCTGATTGAATTTTAATTTGATCCAACAAAAATTCTGATTTATATTCGGATTGAATTCTATTTTCATCCCACTAAAATTCTGATTGATAATCCTACCAAAATTCTGATTGTTAATCCTACCAAAATTCTGATTGATAATTCTACCAAAATTCTGATTTTTTTTTAATCCTACCGACTGCGCCAATTTGTAAGAAGGGTGGACTCTGATGAAGATACTCTATCCTCGAAATAAACTGATTAAATTACACCTGTCTTAGGTCCACCTTCTTAATAATATTTATTTCCTTCATCTACTGATTTTCTTTGCCGAACGAGACAGGTTAGGCAAGTAAGGTCCAATAAGAATACGCTTGAGTTGGCTCGTAAACATTATCAATAAAATTCCACTTACCTTTCGACTCTCAGAAGGGGTGACAGCTCTCTGGGCTCAGCTATCGCTTCTGCGGGCTATCGATTACCTCGAACCGTCACACGTATAAACACTTATCTGGTAACTCTTTGCCTTTATTATATTATATAATCAACTTTTGACTTATATCAGAAGAACTTCTATTAAATTTACTTTATTGTTCACTTCTGGAAGAGAAGTGAGTAAGTTCAGCAATAATAGTAGATTATACCACGAGTCAATAATGATAGCTATTATTCTCGAGGATTTTTTACGAACCGAGCCGCGTCAGCGGCGAGGGAGTAACATTCCGAGAGAATAATAGCCATTATTGCGAGTAGTATACTCTACTTTATTTGCGACTAATACATATACCTGTGGTTTCCGAAGCACAATGCCACATATTAATCCCGCAGGGAATAATGGCGAGGGATTAATAGTCTTTATTCCCTGCGGGACCAATACATGGCATTACACTTCAAAAACCACAAGTATAATATATTAGTCGTGAATAAAAGAATAAATAAAACCTCAACGATCTATTTAATAATTATCAAAATAAACAAATAATGAAAAGACAAGTAAAGAAAATATGATTCGATGAGGAAATGGCTCCTATATAACAAAGCAAATAAATGAACAAGAGATAATTATGATGATTACAGCTATCCTGACTGAGTTGAAATCTATCAGACTAATATTATCTTAACCAGTCAAAAGGAAGTTGATGGTTTAAAAATGTATTTCACTTTAAAATTTAGATGTTCTAAACAGTACGGAAGGTACTAACCTAGTTGAGTTCAGACTCTGAAAACGCAATGAATTTACAAGATTCCAATGATTACCAGAAGGGAAACTTTATCAATATCAGAAAAAATACAATCTTTGAGAGATTTACCAGACACTGAATTCACGCACCAGAACACTAGGCAAGCAGGATGAAATTCAAAATTGAACTAACTTTAAGATTTTTCTAAAATCCCTATCTGACTCTAATTTCGTCTGTTCATTCCCGTTATGGGTGGAAACTTGACTTGGTTGGATGGTATCAACCAATCGTGGTAGATTTTTCTCTCTAGGGGTGTATACTATTCCTTCCTTCTCTTTTGACCAGCTTCAGATACTTGACATACAAATGATTTATGTTTTCGCAACATGTGGGGACTTCTTCGAAATTCTTAAGTACCCTCTGCAGATATTCACAAAATAAAAATAAACTATATATGTTTCTCGAGAGCCCTTA